AGGAACACACTGTCTGCGTAGCGTGTGCGTCATGGCTTTCGAACGTCTCAGTTCGCATTTCGGTGCATGTTAACAGGTCAGGGCGGGCAAAATGTCTGAGTGACATGCGCGTCTCACGCCCTGTTGCTGCATCACATGATCTAGAGATTCGGCCTCTCGCCTGTTTTTCACGTGTGACGCGTCTCTCAGCAAAAATAGACAGAGAAAACACCTGTTGATGTCATAGTGACATCATACCAGCAACATGACATAAAACTGACTCCTTCCATTATAGTTGCAATGTCTAGTCTGAATCTGAAAATGACGTGAAAAAATACACTGGGCACCGGTGTAAACAGGAAGCAGATAGTCTTCTCTGCGCTTGATTAGTTGTGGAGGAACAGCAAAGACAGTTGTAGAGTTAAAATGCTGAATTTACCTGAACAACAGCTGCTAGCAAAGACAACAAGGTCAGTAACACTGACACATTATCATGTTGTATTCACCACTGGTAGTCCAGTAGTAGTCTCTGTTTTAGTTGTTCAAACACTCTGGCATCATGTGGATGGCAGGTGTAAACATAGCAAAAGAGATGTATTTTAAAACTAGTACGCATCCATGTGGACGTAGCCTGAGTCCTGTTTAAACATTAGCATCAGACTCAGGAGATAAGCCTTATAAGCCTCCAAACTGGACTCTGCGGTCTGTGTGTCACCACCAGCTGGAGGGCTATTGTTGGTCTGAAGGTGCCATGAATGTGAGTTCCACCGTCTACTTCTTTATTTAAACCCCTACCTCTAAATACAGAGCAACCTCCACAGCTGTGAATGTGACTTCATACTGAGTGACAGTCTGAGGAGGGGCCGCTTTGGGCCTCGAGTCCTCCAGGACTCCCCTACATGGACCAAGAGACCAGCTCAGTGTTTTCTACTGAGTGTTGTTGTTTCTGAGGTTTAACGATCTCCTCTTCGGTTCCCTTGTTTGTCTCTCACACTGCCGGATTACAGACGGTCTCACACATGCTCAAACAAAGACGGATGATGAGGTCACACGGCCGTCGGTTCAGGGAATGTGTGAGAGAGCGGCAGCTGCTGCGACAGGCAAACAGGAATTGTATTTGCAGGGCGGCAGGGCTGTTTACACCGCCGCTGACTCACGTACAGGAAGACATGAAAGACTGAGGAAATGTGTGACCCAGTTTTCTGCCAGCTCACTTCCTCCTGTTTTGCAGCGACTTCTCAGCGTAAAGACAAAGAATCTGGGGAGGGTTTAAAACATGACTCAACTGACTCATTACTTTTCTCGATTGTCTTGTTTACGTGGACGGTGTGGAGTTGTTTTTGCAGTGTTCTGAATGTGTTTTTGTATTATGATTCATTATTACTGGATCAAGGGTTAAAAATCAACAACACACACACACACACACACAGACACACACACACACACACACACACACACACACACACACACAGGAACACCATCCACTTCTGTCCAGGGCCGCAGCTTAAAGCTCGTGTTTGTGAGTTTGTGTTAAAGACGTTGTGGTTTCTCATGTTACAACAATTACTCAGTTAATCAATTAGTCAATCAACAGAAAATTAATTTGCAACTATTTTGTCAACTGATTGATCATTTCAGTCATTTGTTGATGAGGACATCAAACATTTGCTCATTCCAGATGTAATGATTTCATGTTTTTCTTCATCGTTCATGATCATAACCTTTAGATTTTGGACAGTTGGACGGACAACACAAAACATCTGAAGAGACATCTTGGTCTTCACTATTTTCTGACATTTTATTGACAAAACGAATAATTAATTACTCAAGAAGATAGTCAGCAAATGAATCAATGATGAAAATAATTGTTACTTGCGTCCCTCGTCCATCCGCTGTGGTAAGAGAAGTGTCTCAGGGTCTCTAACATTTACTTAAAGACCCTAAAGCAACGTCCACATGACTACGATACTATCACACACATACATGACCATCACCTACACTGAGCATGTGCGAGGTGTAAACAGGAAGTAGATTGTCTCCTCTGAAGGAGGAGCAGCAAAGACAGTTGTAGCATTAAAACAGAGAATGTAAGTGAACAACAGCTGCTAGCAAAGACAACAAGGTCAGTAACAGTGTCATTCATTATCATGTTGTATTCACCACTGGTAGTCCAGGCTGAGGAGAGCCAATCAGGAGAGACCATGGGTGTGACCTCATCGTTTACAAAGGTCTCAGTTTCTGCCCGTCCACAGACAAAACAACCCCAGAGTTTTCAAAATAAAACACAACCTCAGAGTTTTTTTTTTTTGGAACTGAAAAAGTCTGGAGTCGTGTGGATGGGACGAGGAAACGTAGGAAAAGAGATGAGTTTTAAAATTAAAACGTAGTAGTGTGGTTGTAGCCCAACACTGGGCTAACAAATTAGCTTAAAAAGCATTAAAATGCCTTAATGAGCTCAACTCAACTCATCCAAAACGAAGGCACAAATCATGTTGTTTGTTGGCACATGACCTGACTGCACCAGTCGTTTGTCCAACAGCTTCCTCCCGCTCTGGTTAGTCAGAGCTGCTCGGTTAAGACCGAGAACTGATCATGGTCGCCGTCAGACGAAAACACTGACAGTTGGTGGGAGAGGAGGAACAAACAAACAAGTTTCTGTGGTGTGGATGTGGAACAGAAGTTGTTCAATGAATCAGAGCAAACAGCAAATACTGAATACTGTGTATTCCAACCTTCAGACCAAACCCCTGAATGCAACCTGTGGCTCCTTTAACTCAACTCCTTTGATTTTTATTAACAGGTGAATCTTATTTTTGGTGTCCATTAGTCTCCTGTTGTCTTTCTTTGCTGCTCCTCTACCAGAAACATTTACACTTATTATATTCTTTTGTCATTTTATACTTATTTATTTTCATATCTATCTGAGGGATTTGTTTTCATCTGTTTCCTGTTATATATATTTTTTTATGTTCGACAGTCAGAGGGGACAGCGAGCTAAGAATTTCAATGTGCAGTAATCTTTGAATATTTTACTGTATTATTAGTCTTCCCTTCACTTAAAACTGCACTCACCTAAAGTGACTTAAGTAACTTATTTATTTCATTTTTCTTTTGCACTTATGCAACCAGCATAAAGGGAAGATAAACACAGATAACAGAAGTGAAATGTCGTATATCTCAGATGCACTGCAGATGAACCTCATACAGGACTGTGCAAAGGTTTTAGATTCTTTAGATGTTTAGATAATTATCCAGCATTTAATCTGTCCCACATTTACCCTGCAGCAGAACAATGAGTCCAAGCACACAGCCGGAGTCATAAAGAACAAGACGGTCAAGGAGTCCTGCAACAGGTAGTCTGGACCCCACAGAGTCCTGATCTCAGAAGACACTGAGACTGTCTGAATCCACACAGGAACTGAGGCAGGTTCTCCAGGATGCTAGAACAATCAACCTGAAGAACCTGAAGAACTGTGAGGAGAACTGGAGGGGTCACAGCAAACACTGACCTGACTTAGGTTTTTCTCTTTACTGCACTTTGTATGAAGGCTTTACTTTTTTTTAATGTACATACATAGCACAGTGTATGCAAATAAATAAAATCATTTAAACATGTCTTTTTATTTGTATGTTATGATCTGCTTCCTGTATTTTGACCTGGAGTGGGTTATTAAGTAAGTGTTACTGTTTAATGTTTCAGGAAGTGTTGACAGTTTATCTCGGTTTCACTCTTTGCTGTCACACCTAACTGTTACAACCTCACTGGATTCCAGTATGACTGGACTCCTGCTGCCTCTGCCATTGAGACACACAGGAAGCCTGAGCCGGCCTCCTCTGATTGGCTCACATACCACGTGGTGAGAGTGATAGTAGCTCCTTTTATGGTCATGAGGGCTCTCTCTTTGACTGGAGCATCAGGTTTAGCCCGGCTGCTGTTTCTCAGAAACAGAAATGTACACCGTGTTCTCCCACAGACACACACACCCTCCCTGCTCTGCTATTGTCACTGTATACGGGCTGGATGCCAGCGGCTGCTCCACACATTCACTCATCAAATTCACAGCCAACTGTTTCAACTTAATGTATTTAGATATAGTTTATGGTCGTCTAATTTTTTTTACTTTTTTACTTTTGGTTTTCCAGTGCAAAGATGGAGGGTTTTATTACATCATACAGTATACGCTCAGTGTGCAGAAAATTTGAATGAAGATTAAAACTGTTTATTAAAACAAAAAAAGAGGCATTATTACTATAATACAGATTTTACACAATATTTTGTGACCTATTTATTTATTTGATCATTTCCTTTTATCAAAATTAACCAAACAGTATAGTATAGTATTATTTTCTTTATAGCTATCAAAATGTGCGATTCTATCCATGAGAAACTATTTTTATCAGCAGCTATCAAAATAAAGCATGTAATAGGTGTATATGAACTAACAACATGGCTGCAAATGCTATTGGGTCAATTTATCTAATGGGTCACAGATTTTGGTGCAACAGTGAACTGTGGTTACACAACGTGTTCTGATTATTTTAAACATAATATTCTGGTTTGTTCACAAATACGTTCGTTTGTTCAGGCTTGGACTGTACGATAAATGCGAGAGGCCATTTTGTGGTTAGGTTCAACGTGGTTTCATCATTTTGTTTCATTAAAAAAAATGTGCTTTGTTTGTTTTGTGTGGACAGACAGCAGCAGACAGTTAGGAGTTATGTAATGTCCATTTGGAGGGAGCAGTCCAAAGCCGGAGCGTGGTTAGGTTGAGGCGGGAAATCGGAGCACCTGTAAAACCCCGCGCACAAGTGATACAGTTTAGTTATTGTGTCGTAAATAATTTTGTAGCTTTATTTAATGTTAGCTTGATGTTTTATTGTGTAAGTCACGTACATATGTATCCCAACGTCATTTATTTTGGTTTACAAACCACCCCCCCTGTTGCAAGGAATATGGTACGGTCCACAACGCGTCACCCATTGTTTACAAATCAACTCGGGTTGTTGGTTAGTGCCAAGCGGCGTGTTGAGAGTGAGGAGCGGCCCCGGGGCTCTCATTCATACCAATAACAAAACACAGAAACGTCCACCCAGAGAGCAACGAGTATCCGCCACCATGCCCTGTCGGAAGGAGAACTACATCTTTCTGGAGCAGTCCGTCACCGTCGACTCCAAAGAAGTGGACGCGCTGGTGACGAAGATCGGCGAAGCGCTGCAGCTCCACAACAATAGCGGCGGCCACCAGAAGACGGTGTCCGTGTCCATGTCCTGCCTGCACGGGCTCACCGGCAGCAGCGCCGGTGGGGTGAAGCCGGCGACTGTCATCAACGGCAGCACGGGTGCTCCGGCGCAGAAACGCAACGGCTGCTGTATGAGGCTCCGGAACCGGGGACACCGGGGGAGCAGCAGGGCAAGCCCGTATAACATCCCTGGATCTAACGGCGACCAGGACTGGGACCAAATTAAACCGTGGAACAAAAAGAGGATCGGCGTGGAGGAGGACGATCCTCACCGGCTGCTCCAGGAGTTAATTTTATCGGGGAACCTGATTAAAGAGGCCGTGAGGAGGCTGCAGTTCTCCGCCGCAGACTGTGGAGATTTCCCCAAGGCGGCGGACAACGTGCCGTGCTGATAACGTAACGGACGAACCGTGGACGGGGTTTCCGCCGCAGCGGTGAACACCGACACTGAGACTGTTCACACGGACTGTTTCAAATTAAAATTCACAGGACTGGTAGCTATGTTTTCTAATTTCATCATTTTTTTCATCGATATGTCTGTAACGTTTGTTACGCTACGTTGGCTAGCAGTCAGCCTAGCTGACTCGCTAGCCACCCGGCTAATGAGCCGTGTTGTTTATGTTTGAATGTCTCCTTGTGGGTCAGACTTTCGGGGTAGGGAGGGGGGGTAGGGATGCAGTGGAGGTTAAAACCACCAAAAATAATCCACCTTGTCGACATTTTATTTGGCGGGAAATGATGTTTTTCCACCTTTAAGAGGCTAATGTTGATGTATAATGAAGACACGCATCACATGGAGTGTGTTTGTGTGTGAAGATGGAGTCGAGTGATTCGTGAACAATGGCTTTTCTTTTCTAGTTGACGGATGATGGAGTCACAGTGACAGGAAGTCCTGGCTCATTCATTTTATTTTTTTTATTTACCACTGCATCCCGGGGTTTGTTCATTTCTTTGAGGGGGGAGGGGAGGGCTCCTCATGGCTGAAGTGTAAACTAGCCATTCCCTGCTCTGGCAGACCATTATAATGGGGGGGTTGGGAGGTTTAGTAGTCCATTTTGTTTACAATCTAATGCTGGGCGGTAAGAGCCGCTGCACAGAGAAGAGAAAGGAAGCCACCACCGTCTTTTTTTCCTCTATTATTATTGTTATGTTGTTCAGTGGGTTGTCCTTTTAACTGCCCTCGGTTTCCTCAACCTCAACCAGACACATCAGTGAAATGAGCTCCAGAGATGCTGGTTTGTTCTCGACACTTTGACTTTAAATGCCACATGGTGTGTTCGGGGTCCCACTGACAACACTGTACCTCTGTCACCGGCAGCTCCGCATTTCTCCTCTAGACATCTTTTCAAAGGGGGAACATGGACATCAAACATGTGGAGGAGAAGCGGGTGGGGGGGCATGGGAAAGAAGAGAAAACACGCCCTTTTCCCACAGGGCTTTGGGTGATGTGTAACTGTATGTTTGTAATGCTTGGGGGGGGGGGGGTCTGCCATCACATGACAACACTTCTGTGGTGCTTTCACCTTGTTGGAATTCCTGCAAGGAGTTCTGTCTGTTTTTTATTTGTTTCTTCTCTGTGTAAAGAAAAATCGCCATGACTGCTTCGTAACGAAGTATCTGATAATGTTCCTGAGTTTTCAGGGCCTTTTTTTGTTGTCTTAATAAACAGTTTGTTTTTCCAAACCTCTGTAGAGTTTTATTGGTGACTCAAGGAGGAACTGCAGCCTTTCCAGAAACTTCCCTCACTTGTTTTGTCAGTAGTTTGACTTGTCCTACATGTGAAAGTGTGTGTCCCTGCTCTGCTTCCTGTGGGCCTGTGAGTGCGGACAACGTGGTCTTGAAGGACACATGCTCATTATCGGCCTATAAATACCCCCCTCCCCCTCAGTGGATCACAGCAGGCGGGCATGACACCAGCGCTGAAAAACATGTTTTGCTCTGGTGGCTTCGCCGCTGAGCTCTGAGCCAGTCAAGGTCCTACACATTGTTTATGGCGGCTCCCTCTGCTGTCGCTGCTCGGTTACTGAGGGTGTGTGTGTGTGTGTGTGTGTGTGTGTGTGTGTGTGTGTGTGTGTGTGTGTGTGTGTGTCGTCATCCGTCGCAGCAGCAGCAGCAGACGGAGCTGACGGGGGCAGCTGACAACATGTTGTGGGTCTGTGGGTGGATGTTTGGCCTCCAGGTGATCTCGAAGGTTACACACATCCTTGTTCAGCCTCGGATCACAGGTTAAGACAGGACACACTCACGCTTTGCAAACACACATGCACACATAAGCACACCCACACACACACACACATACACACAGACTGCTGCTGTCTTTCAGGTCTTCTCTCAACTGAATAAATTCTTATGCCAGCAAAAATCTGCATTTCCTCCAATAATTAGTCAATTAAATGAAAAATGTATTGAGTATTTAGCAGCTAACTCTTATCATTAGTTAAGCTAAGCTTCAATCAAAACACACTTTGCATGCACAGCTGAGCACATTTTTTGCTTTACACAAGGAAAGAAAGAAAGAAGAACATTAAGCTGAAGCTCCAGAGCTGAAGGTGAAGTCCAAAAACATTAATATAATAATGTTTATTAATGATATAAAACAGAAAAACAGCAAATGGTCACTTTACAGAAGCTGGAACAAGAACGATTTCAACTTTTTCTTTTTGATAACTGATTCGTCTTTTACATCATTTATCAAAATAGTAGATTCATTTTTGTGCAGCTCGACTAATTGTTCCAGCACCAATTAAGTATTCAAATATAAAAAATCATTTTGCAGGAGGATCTCTAATAATCTAATACTTAGGTTTGCAACTAACCCTTATTTTCATTACTGAATAAAGTGGTGGTTATTTTCCAGTCATCTATTAAACATTTAGTCTAAAGAAAAAGTCAGAAATCTGTGGAAAATGCATTTTAAATTCCCTGGATCCCGAACTAATGAAAAAACACAAAACCAAAAAAAATATTATTATTTATTATTTATTTACTATAATAATAATAAGGATATAAAACTAAATACATAGACATTAAATAGAGACTCTCAACTTTTTTTGATAACTGATTCAACTTTTGAGTCATTTATCAACATTAATCACAAAGTGAAATATACAGGTTATTTTCAAGTAATCTGTAGTAGTCAGAAATGAGTGGAAAATGCATTTTAAACTCTCAAACTAATGAAAAAACAAACCAATATATCCAGTTTACAATAATAATAATAATGATCTAAAACAATAGATAGATGTTAGATTGTCACACTGGAGAAACTGGAACCAGAAAAATGACATTTTATCTCGATAAACGATTCAACATTTTCTCTCATTTCACAAAAAAAGACCAGAAACGTGATTTATCAGTCGACCCACTGCGACTCTAACGATCAGCTGATCAGCTTTCCTTTATTTACACTCACTCCTTCATTCCTCTTCCTCCTTCATCAGCTCTTCCTCTCACTCATGAGTAGAAATGATTTTATGTGGAGCTGTAAAACTCGGTCTCGACCCGTTATGTAAAATTCAGTCTTATTCTCTCTGCACTGCCTCCTCCGTCTGCCCCCAGCATGAATGAATCAAGTGTTTGACTGCTGAGGGAATATTTAATCAACCTGCACCAACGGCTGCAAAGTAATGACATCCATCCACTCCATTTTAACACAAGGAGACGATTAAAGCTTCTTCAGCGATACTTGTACAAACATCCAGAATCTGTGTGAAATGAGACAAACTGAGACTCAAAGACTTCCAGTGTGCGCGAGCTGCTGTGTGTGTGTGTGTGTGTGTGTGTGTGTGTGTGGGCGGCAGCTTCATTCTTCAGGTCGGCCTCCCACTCGGCTCCGCTGCATCCCTGACGCAACCGGCGCACAAACCACAAGGTAAAAATAGCAAAGCAGCCACTGTATTTAAAATACAAAGGCGACACCTCCCCTCCTGTATCCGACGTCAGGTTGCATGACATCATCAGGTGAGACAGCTGCAGACGCAGTCCAACTGTTTGTTCTCCTCAGGTTCAAACATTCTTCATTGTTCCACCGTCATATTGATTCATACTGTGTCTCCTTCAGGACGCTTCAACATAGAAACATTCAAACTCTAAAGCGTTCAGCTCAATCAGGACATTATCAGATGGATTCAGTTTTTGGATATATTTCTATATATATCATGTATCACTAGATATATTATTTATATGATATATGTTTTTTATTCCTCCACGCCGGCGACAGTCAGAGCAGCAGCCATATTGTTTTCACGTTGTCCGTCCATCCATCTCATTCTCGTGGATATCTCAGTAACACGTTGAGGCAACTTTGGCACAAACGTTCAATAGGACCCAAGAATGAACTGGTTAGATTTTTGTGGTCAAAGGTCAAAGGTTAAGGTCACAGTGACCTCACAAAATAATGATTTTGGCTTGTGAACGCAATGTCTCCATAACATCTTGAGGGAACTTCTTCAAATTTGCCAAAAAAAATTAACCAGGATTCAAACTGATTAGAATTTGGTGTTTAAAGGTGAAAGGTCAAAGATCAAAGGTTAAGGTCATGGTGACCTCACAAGTCACAGTTTTGACCTTGTGACCATGGTATCTTAGTGACACTGAGAGTTTTTGATTCAAATTGTCTTTTTTAAACAAATACAAATCTCTTCACCACTTTAATAAACTTGAATTTCTCCTGCAGATTTATTTTACATGTTTACAAAAGTTGATTTACAACTACAGATATTGGAATTATGTGTGAACAAACACTTTACAAGCTCTAAATCATTTTGACCCTAATTTGAACCTATAAAGGTTTTCGGGGGAGCATGTTGGCAGCTAGCTTCCTGGCTAGTCAAGCTAACCACCTCCCTAGTAGCAGCTAGCTTGCTATAGTGCTATGCTAGCTATACTATATTTTCAAGGTGAGCTCCTGTATCGTACATGGCTCTAATGGATGAGTGTTGCACATTCAGTTATTGTTTTGCAAGTTTTTGTGACTCCACTCCATCAAACTGTCCAGACACAGACGTAATGACGATGCTGTTATGTCTATTCTTTTCTTCACCTCCCACAGTGCCGTGTTCTTCTGGGATCTTGCAGCTGATTGGTCCACTCAGGGTGTCCACAGGTTGTAGGTGCATCCTTCAGGTGTTGGTGCTCCCTCTCTTGGGTCTGGACACTCATTGGCTGATCATCAGCTCGTGTTGATCCAAATTGAGGATCAACAGGAAAACAGAGACTAGTTATCTGGTTAACTTTGATTAGTAAACCCCTTAAATGTGATCATATGGATAGGAGAACAACTTCCTGTTCCACTAACAGCTCTGTTAATAATATTACTTAAAACTTTTTAACACATCAGAACCTAAAAAACAGAAAATCTAAATCTAAAATGAACTGTAATAAATCTTAAAAACACTGATTAAACCATTATTCATTTATTTGAATGTCGTTCAATTTGCTGTTAAAATGCTACAGATCCAAATGAAGAAATAATGAAACATATTTAAATGGAACTTATTCTCTTTCTCATACTCAGAATAATTTACATGTTTCATATGAAGTAATTATGATTATTTACACTTATTTATTCTCTATGATTGTTTTGAATCTCACTTTAGGTTAGAAAATACTTGCTGTTGCTCAGAGTGTCGTAACAACAAAGGGCAGTTCAGCATCTAGAAGTGGAAACCGGACCAAAGGTTTCCTCTGATGATCTGACGGACATCCTGATCAGACTCTGGTGTAATGACTGTGTGTGTCCTCTAGAGGGCAGCGCTGCACCATCTAGTGTTCACTTTCCCGCTCACGTCAGTCTGTGGTTCTTGAACCTGCAGCTGGAGACCACAGCTCCACTTCCTGTCACCCTCCACCTGGCCTGGGCCTCACAGCTCCTGATTGGCTGATTCAAACTAGTAAAATAGAAATCCTTTAAATCAATCAGTGAAAGTAACACTGATTCTACCGCTCTGTCTGGTTGTGGCAGTCATCATCAAAGATTAAAAAAACTGCAGGCCACAAAATTTACCCCTTTATTCTGAAAATTTCAGTCTAGAATAAAGAGAAAAGAATGAATTCCTTTTAAATAAAGTAGTTTTGACATTACACTCAATCTGTGAAATACTAATGAAGCAACTTTGAAGTTTTACTGGTTCAAACCTCCAGTTGTAGTCAGGGGTGGACTGGGACAAAAATTCAGCCCTGGCCTTTTCTGTCCAGACCAGCCCACTACATTATCAGCGGACACTGCATAGAAGTCCACTAATCTCGCGGCATCTTCTCTCATGCATACTACAAAAGAGAGGCATATTCCTTGATAGCAGTTAACAAATAAAGCACTTAACTATGAACTCGAGTATTAAAATTGCCAGCGATAGCAATAAATCAATCAATCTTTATTCATTATAGTGTCAAATCACAACAGAAGTTATGTCATGACTAGGGTGGGACGAGACTAACGGGAAGAACCCTTAAGCTACCCTTTCAATTTTTAGTCTGTGAAATCACAGAATAATGCACAAGATAAAAGATTAGTTCATATTGAACGAAACGGTCGCGAGCGTAACATTAGTGGCTTTGCCACGTTTTCATTATGACACTTGTTTTCCAATGCAAAAAAGTCAGATCTTTGTGACAATACCTGAAAATGCCCAAGACAGCACTATACACAGCCGTTTGAAAACTACAGTAAAAGTAACGCATTTACA